TCAATTAAAAAAATAATAAATAAACTCTAAATTTGGATATTCAACAGATTAACAACAAATTCAAGAAACAAACAATCAATTAATTAATAAATAATTAAAAAAAAAGATAGAAACAAACCTGGAAGAAAATCAAAGCGGAACTTAAAAGTGAGAGGAAAAAACAGAGGAGAGAGAAAATGAAATAATGTTAGTTGAAAAGTAGAAAGAAATGAGAGGAGAAGATGAAGATGGGGATGATAAGAGAGGAAATTGTTTGATTGTGGTTTAGCCGTTGACGGATGTGGGGACCACCGTGATAAATCAGAGGGTGGAAAATGGTTTTATTAAATAATGATTTTTTTTTTGAGGGAATTAAATAATGATTTGACGATGTGGATTTAAGATGAGTAAAATGGACGGCTGCGATATTTTTAAAGTGGAGAGAGAAAGTCACGTTTATTTTAATGTGTGTTTGTGCGTGTAGAGTATTCTAGCTTGTACTAGAAAGTTAATGGTAGGGGAAAATACTTGTAGGAAATATCCATGATTTTATTTTTTTATCTAATAAAATGATTAATCACTAGAATTTTGAGGCTGCCAAGTATGACCAATTTACGCGGTTTGTTTAGGGTTTGTTATGAGATGGGAAGATGTATTGGCTTTTGCTTATTTGAGGTTGAAATGCATGTTGAATGGGTTTATAAAACGTGGGCTTGGACTGAAACAAGGGGCTGGCTAAACTCATACAGTGCTAGAATTGTGCCTTAATATTATGGCCTTTTTATGTCTTAACAAAGAAGGAGAACTGTTATTTGTTGTACCGAGTAGTTAATAGGATATCTGGTTTTTCGAATATTCTCTCCATTTCAAAATAATGTCTCATACTAACGTTTGCACTATTTATATGTATCACTTTGTCTTTAGTCATAAAATTAAACACGGATAAATGAGTACTTGTTGGAATTGTCTCAACGAGTATTTAGTTGAAATACAGTAGTTTAATACTAAATGTATTAGAGAGATAAATTCACCATATGTTTGGTGTGATATTTTAAATTTAAGACTTAATTACCCTAAATTTGAAACTAAGACTAAAATCCAAAATTCACTTTAAATCTCTAGCCCAAAACATAAGACTTCTCGGAAACTTCTTAGACTTATTGTCCAATATGCGAGACTCATTGCATGTCGTCACACCAGCATAATAGTGTTACGCATCTCACATAACACCTCTTCAATATTTCCATTAAAAACAACTTATAATTGTTATGAAAATTCTTTTGTTCTTATATATTGTATATAGAGTAAGATACATTAGACACCTTTACAACATACCAAATTATGTGTAAGGGCGAATCTTTGTTTGGGCGGCAAGGGCTCAGCCTCCTAAGTAATTTTTAGTTGTTGATTATAACTAATATGATGTCTCATAATTGCACATAAAAAGTTGTTGCATAGTGGTTGATTATTGTTATTTTTGAGCAAAAGGTTAAGGGATCAAACCTTGACCCCCCCTAACTTTTTGGCCCAAGATCCGGCACTATGTGGAATTTGACTCTTAAAAATGGAGAACTGATGATATTCCAAGTACTTTTCGTTTTAGGTAATAAAAATGTCCTAGTTAAGAAGTATCGTAGGTTTTTTTTTTTTTTTTTTTTTTTTGAAACAAGAAGTATCATAGTTAGTTAGCCAATTCTTTTTTGTAATATGTAGATTAGTTTAAAAGACATAAGAGTAGCTTTTTAAATGGCAATATCATGAAAATAAAGGAATTCAATTCAAAAACCTTTCTTTAAGAGTTTTAAGATTTTAACCATACATTATCCAACAATAAATTTAGGTGAAAGAAAATCCCAACACGTAATAGCTAAATAAGATAATTTTCATAACTTGGCGTACCAATTTAAACTGTTTGCTGTAACTATTAATTAATTAAGATGAAAAAAAAGGAGTTAGTTAGATCAATGCCCAATGTTGTTATCATAGTATCATAATGCGCACTTTCCATCAATTCATGTTTGACAAGTGCCTGCTTTTATTAATATGAGAATACTTAGCAAGAAATTCATCTTACTACAACTTTGAACACTTTTGCCTTGCCTTTGTAGACACAGTCGTCAAGAAAATTACTTTTACTAAATATATACAAGGGGGAAAAAAAAAATTGTTATGTAAATCTAATTATAAACGTGTTTGGATCATTGGATATACTTTGCCTATGGACCTCATGGCACATCTACTTTGCCGTTAAATCGTCATTTTAACCATTTATATAATTGCCTTCCTTTGTTAATTTAAGGTTATCACATTCCTTTATGTGACAGAGTAGTGGTCGCATATATAGTTCCAAAGAACATTACATGAGCTAGAGATGCATCCCTTATCATCTTGAAAGTTTTGACATCGGGTCCCGAAATCTTTGATATATATTGGTCCGAAAGTGTGGGTTATCACCTTCAGTTTTGGACAATTTTTTACTTTTTTGACCCGAAAAAGAAAGATGTTGGGGGTGTTTCCCAGGGACCCTATGACATCTTAGGAGCTTATTTGGGTGGTTGGAACAATCCATTTTACCTTTAAATTATAAACTTAAACGTTTACGCCACATCTCCCTTAATTAATTCAATGCCTCCATAAGCATTTATGTGAACAACTAATGGTCACATATGTTTCAAAAAAACATTTTATGACCCCTAAGATGCATCCCCAACCATCTCGGAGGTCTTCGACACAGGGCCCTAAAACCTCCAATATTGGTCCAAAATCGTAGATTGTAGCCTTCAATTTTGAACAAATTTATGACTTTTTTGGCTCGGAAAGGAAAGAGATCGAGATGCTTCCCATGGACCCCATGCAACTTAAGAGGCTAATTGGGTGGTTGGAACAATCCACTTTGCATTTAAACCGTCAATTTAGCCTTTTATGTACATGCATCCCTTGATTAAGTCAAGACCACCACAAGAATTTATGTGACCAAGTAGTCTCTTATGGTTCCAAACAATATCATATGACCCTGAGATACAACCCTTGCCATCTCGAAAATTTTCAACACCGGATCCAAAACATTCAAAGACAATCCAAAAGTGTGGATTGTAACCTTGAGTTTTAATTTGGACAATTTTTTACTTTTTGGGACTCGAAAGGATAATAAGTAGGGGACTTTCCATAAACCCCACGACATCCTGAAAGGCCATTTGGGTGATAAAAACGGTTTACTTTGCATTTAAACTGTCTGTAGTTTGATTAATCCTATTAATGGGACAAATGGGTTTTGTTCGTGTTTGGTAAACTTGTGACGTGAAGAACTGAAGACCATTCTACTCTGATCTAAAATATTCTCTATGATGCCTCGATGGTAAATTATAAAAAGAAGATAATGTTCCGAGTATTAGTAAAGATACACTTCGTACTTCGGAAAATTCGAGAGATGCTGTTCTAATCCAAATTGCACACGTTATGTTACATATTTTTCCGAACGCTCCACAAATACCCACACATGACACATTACTAGGTCATCCTTTGTATCAGACAAAATGAAATTCCTAGTAGCAAAGAAGTAAAAATTCCTAGTAGCAAAGAAGTAATTTTTTGGCAGGAAAATCACTACATACTTTATATGACTTCATCCAACAAGTTGATTCTAGATAGCCCCGTCGATTCAAAGTATGATATTGATATATATACACTTCGTATAACTTGATCCAACAACTCGATTCTAAAAGTAGCCCCATTGAATCACGTTATTTACGAATTACGATGCGCTCAAATAAGTATAAAGCCACTTAAAAGACGGAGGAAGTACACTAAGTAGCCAACTCATGCTACCTAAGATGCAAAAATGCACGTTAAGTCAAGCTCATTTCGCATCATCAACAATTCAACACAACATTTCAATAATAAGATAGAGTAGTTAAACATACTGTCAGTCTGTCAGATATTGTTTTGAAGAAATCATACTGTATTTGCATGGTTGAGCCTCCATTTAAGTACTCCGTATAAAAATAGTAGTACATCCGCTGTTTTCGGAGACCAGTTTCATGGCAACTTGGTACCAACAAGTACCAATCAAATTTGAATACCATTAAAAGCATTCACATGCTACTGTCAATGCAAAGAAAATAAAAATGTGTGTATACTGGTATGTAATCAAGGCATCCACATGCTAATATCGTAGTTTTAACTACTTTCCTATTTAGACAAACAGATTCAGCTAGCTGTATCAGCATTTACCCATCTCATCTCCTTATACGAAAGGCGAAACAATATACGGTGTAACAAAAAAGAAAGAGTGGTTTCCGAACTAGTTAGGCAACTAACAGAGGGATAAACGTCTTACATACAGTTAATGAACGAATTGTAGTTACTAGTGAAGCTAAGGGGCAATCTTGACATCTCGCTCTCTATGTGGAGCCAGGAGGGAAAAAAAGTCAAAGAACGCACCAAAGTTGCCAACTCTAAAGATTAAAGGCAATCTATAGGAGTTTGTGCTAAAAGGATAGTCATGGAAGCATATATAACAAAAACATCATGAGATGAAGGACAAAGGACATACATTATCCCAAAAACTGCCAAAAGCCAGTTTGGAAGCTTACCTTTGATGTTCAAGGTGGTGGCGCTTGCACCCGGAAGATGAAATAATTTTTCGGGTCCCTGGACAGATCATGTTCTGGCATCGATAACGATATTCAGAAGCATGGCCACATATAATTCTGTAGAACGAGAACGTTAAGTTCTCCAGCTTGCTGGTACAGCTGAACTAAGGAGTGCCCACCAAGTGAGAAAAAGGCAAGAGTTTGTGTATTTAGGCAACATCACTAGTTCAAATGGTCCACACAGTCACAAACCCCTTAGTAAGGCACTAAACACTTGAAGTAAACAAGTGATGTTGATCAACAATAGCAATGCATAAAATGACAAAGTAATGGACCCATCCGATAAGATATGGACTTTTATCTCTAATTCTATTTAATTAATGCATTCAAATGTGTCGTGAAAAGGAGAAATATTGTGGACATTAATTCTTTCCATAATGAAATTTATTCAACTAAAAAAAGGTCTAACTTTACAAATGGGTCCTAAGCAGCTGGCAAGTTTTTCTTTATAAAAAATGGGCGAAAACTGAATGAATAGATAGGTATAATATGGACTCAAATATATTACTTGGTAGAAAATAAAGTTACAGGGTGAGAAAATTGAGGTAATATAATCAATGGATAAACTGAGCTTCTAGAATTCAAGTGTAAAAAATGAATGCAGACGGTACCCATTTACAAACTATCTCCGTCTGTTTGGTTCGTGATGATGGTCTCTACTAGTTTCACTCTCACTATTATCTGTAGTGCTTTCCCGCAAATGCTTAGCATCAGCTTTGACAGCAACAACAGGCTTTGCTTGAGGATGGTCATGACCAGAAGTGGCAGATTCTCTTCCAGCTCGACGATCCTGCATACAGTAGGGATAATGTTCAGTCATGAAATGAGCAAATGATCAGCATTCATAAGTTCTTTCTAGTCAATCTCAACAAGCAGTTTTGAACACTACCAAATAAACTTAGCAATGCAACAAATCAATTACTCAAATGAGTTTAGGACCACATACATCACGGAATAACAAATCATCCGCCTCAAGCATGTGGATAACATGCCCCATTTTTGGCCTCTTATGTGAATCAGGGTCAACACATTTAAGAGCAACTAAAAGAATGCGTTTCAATGCTTTCGAAGTTGGCATCTCAGGCAGTTTAGGATCCACCACTTCCTCGGATCTTCTATTTCCCACCATTGTCTTTAACCAGTCTACCAAGTTCACCTGCAATCAATTTGCAGATTCCATCTCTTAGGAACACAAGGAAAACATTGCAAGTTATGCGATAGTGTAATACGAAGTATAAAATTTACCTCTCCAGGTGGGCGACTATAATCAACAGGGGTTCTCCCTGAAATTATTTCCATTATAAGTATTCCAAAGCTATATACATCACTCTTCTCAGTCAACATTCCAGTACATGCATATTCAGGAGCTACATATCTGCAACAGGATGAAAAATTAGATGAACAAAAAATGCATGACTAATACAGATACTAGAGAGCAGTAATTCACACTCACCCAAAAGTACCCATGACACGAGTTGTTACATAGCTCATCTCAGAACCAAGCAACTTAGCAAGGCCAAAATCAGAAACTTTAGAGTTCCACTGCCGATCAATAAGTATGTTGCTAGACTTGATGTCTCGATGCACAACCTTGGGTTCAAGGCCCTCATGAAGATAAGCCAACCTACACCAACATAAATGTCAATAAGCTTACCATTAAAACATTGAAAAGGTGTACAATCCAATAATAGATGAACATGCTGCAGGAATTTACCCTTTGGCTGTTCCCAAAATAACGTTCATTCGGATATCCCATGTGAGAGGGCTTACATCACCAACATCACCATGAAGCCATTGGTCTAAATTGCCATTGTCAACATATTCGTACACTAGCATCCTAGAGACACCCAAAAAAAAAAGTCACATTACCAACTGCTCCAATAACCAGAAATCAAAAGTTCTGAAATCAGAACTTGATAAATTGATTACCTATAAGCTCCCTCAACACAGTATCCAAGCAACCTAACAAGATTCTTATGTCTAACACGTCCGATAGCTTCAACTTCCACCTTGAATTCCTTCTCGGCTTGACCCCTGGAAAGTGGTCATTCATATTAGCCAAACATATACAAATGACATATTGTATAATCGAACAGTCTGTGCCTCCACGAACACCAAATAAGTTTATTTAACATGACAATTAGAAAGAACCGCCCTAAATCGAGTTTATAACTCATAATCAATATTAACAAACTACACTAGTGGGTGGCCCCTGCACCCACCAGTAGACAGTAGAAAGAAGGCCCATAAGGTCATAACTATACATTAAGTTTTGTATTATTCATTTGTGCAGATCTATCCATTACTTAGCTAAGGAATGATTAAAGTAACGAATAAAAGAAATAAGGTTCTGATTTGATCTCCAATACAATAACTGAAAAAGGCATAATTAAAAGCTGTTCACAGAGTAATCGGGCCACTTTACAGCCAGCACAAGACATTATCAGGACAAGACAAGAATAATAACAAATTACTCAAAAGAAATTACAACATACTCTTTCTTATTGAAGTTACATAGAAGCAACACCTAAAAATTTGACAGCCATTTATCCAAGTTCCCATGAAGTCTCAAGCTTCCTTACTTCCATGAAGCACGGAGACGGATACGGATACGGGACATATACAGATACATCGACTTCCATTACTGTTTCATTGAATTAAACCCAATAACTGAACACTAGCAATGATACTGAACGAGCCCTTAAATTTTGAGTCCAATTTTACCCTTTACAGCAAATGAGACTTCAAGATTTAATCTTTTAACTATAACCCCATTCAAAACACTATTAAATCATCCAAAAATGGTAGATAATAAAATCATAATGAGTCAAACAAATTAATTAACCCAACCCAACCCAACCCAACCCAAACACATTCATTAGTTCATTACTCCATCACACCCAAAAAATAAAAACCAAAAACAAGCAAAATGAACAATTAAATGCAAATAAAATTCATCAATTTGAAAAACCCACCAAAATTAAACCAAATTAAATCCAATAAAGAAGGAAAATCAAAATTTACCTGTTATTCAAGAGATTTTTAACAGCAACCTGAGTATTATCCTGCAAAATTCCATGATAAACAATACCATATCCACCTTCACCAATGACATTTTCATCCGCCAAACCATTAGTAGCTAATTCCAATTCTCTCAAAGTATACCATCTTCCCCAACCCAAATGAGAAACTTCTGGACCACCATACGACGACGTATTATGCTGACTACCACTATGATTATTATTACTATTATCACTTCCATAATTATAATGATTAACATTATTAGACCTTAAACTCTCCCCACTTGACGGAGCTTTATCAGAGAAAACAACTCGATGTTCGGGTTTACCGATATCGATCTGGATCTCAGGAGCAGCGTTGATCATCGGACGGTGGTGGTGGTGGTGATGTACGGCTGGGATTATCTCCTGAATTTCCTTAGAGATCGGCGGAGTGACGTCAGCAGGAACCGCATTGTTATTGTGTTTAGAGGAGAGAGAAAGTTTTCCGGCGCCATTGTTGTTGTTCTGGGATTTTCTAGAAGTGATGCAGAGTGAAAGAAGGAAAAGGAGGAGGACGATGGTGGACCCCACGAAGATTCCGATGACAACCCATAATCGTAATCCGAAGATTGAAGTGGGTTTTGAGAGCTCTGAGTTCACAAATGCGGCGTCGTATATTGACATTAATAATAATTAATCTGCTGAATTAATTACCCAATTGAAAGAAGAAAATGGTAGTTGAGCTAGTGAGGAATACTGGGCATTTGGAGTATTCGCCGGAAAAGGGAGGAATTCCGGCGGCGGAGAATGGCGGTGGGGAAGAGTGAGGTGTAGAGAGAGAAAGAGGAGAGAGAAAATGAAGGAGAGAGTAGACAGGAGGAATCGAGGGGTGAAAAAGATTTGGTTGAATGAGAGAGCATCGAGTAATGGACCATATATTATACGAGTAAATAATGTATAGTTGTATGCCATAGTATAGTCCAATATTTATACACTGTTTAGTCCAAGGAAATGAGATAGAGTGGACTATACTAGATTGATTTATTATGGATTTATTTATTATTATGGAGTTTTATCAATGAATTTTTTTTATTTCTTTTCCTTTTCTTTATTATGGGTGGTGCCTAAAAGTCTACCGTACCGTTATCAACCTATGAAAGTTGTAACTTGTAAGCTTATAATCAACGTTTTGATATGTTTGTGAATATCATTGCGACTCTTAACCACAAAACAAGCTTAGTGTCTCCGTTCAAAAAAAAAAAAAAAAAACAAGCTTAGTGTCTATCTAATTATGAGTATTTTGTAAGATGAATATTTTTGTTAATCTCCTTATGTAACATTGTTTTTTCCTTATCATGCGAAAAGATGAGTTAATATTTTTTTTTGGAAAGCAAAGATGAGTTAATATTGATATGCTTTTAGTTGACATCATGGTATTTTTACGACAATGGTAAAAAGACATTTTCTTTAAAATTAATAATTTATTAATCCGACTTTTCGTGATTTATAAAAGAGAAAAAAGAAAAGGTAAACGATGCAATAGTTCATAACTATTTGACATTTGTTATAATAAATGTATACTGATTGATGTAGAAAGCATGATTTAAGGATAATAGTAACAAAGTTAATTGAGAATCTAATCAAATCTTTTGATGAGTTGTATATAATATATTGCTTAATACAAGTTGTTAGGTTTGGAAGCAATTGCACTATTATGTTTTCTACTCGGAAAAAGTCGATATTTTAGGCTCATTATTGTGAATTCAATCTAGCGTACATAGAGCCAAAGACTGAGAATTTTCCTTTCACATGAATTGTTAGGTGGTAATTCAATGAATTTAATAATAAATCAAATAATCTCACTGGATCATTCCATTTATAATGTATAATAAAATTCTACGTATCAATAAATGATAACATATAATCTGTGGTTGATTAAATTATTAGCCACAATTTTAATTTTTTTTTGAGTAAAAATTATTAGCCACTAATGATATACTTGTACTCTGTATAATATAATTTTTGAAAGATTAAACACTTAAAACCTCATTTATTTATTTATTATTATTTTTTTTAACAACACTTAAACTTCATAAACTAGGGTAGCTCAGATGAAAGGATGTGTTTATTTGATTCAATTGTCATGTATTTACTAGATTTAAATATCTATGTAGATATCGTATGACTTTTTATTTATGAATCAATCTATATTAAAAAAAAAAACGTTTATCATATATCTAATGCAATAATATTTAAAAATTAGTAAGCTCTTACTTCTTTATTTTATTTTAAAGATAAGTTCTAGAACTGTATGTAAAATAAGTCAATGCTCTATTATCATAAATACTAAATATAGATTTGTATAGTTCTGTTATTTAATCAATAGCTATTATTTTGTCTAAAAATAAATGTAATTTGGACAAAAAAAAAAAAAAGTACTAAAAAGCAATGTAAAAGACAAAATTAAATAATCATGGAGTATATCAAAGATGATATGATACAAAAGAGTAATCATGCCATCATTTGTTATTGACTAGTGTACTAATCTTCAATAGGAAGTTAATAAGAATAAGCTACCACCACTATCAAAATTATTGCTGCTTTTTATTCAAACCCTCTTTCCCTCTCTTAATTATTAATAGTGCATTAATCACTTTCCCCTCTTATTTTCTTTCCTTAATGCATGCTGACTATTGAGGTTTGGGCAAATTGATACTTTGGATATATTTCCTATTTTCCTATAAAAATAAGGAGTACTATTCGAGTATCATTCTAGCGATTGATCATGTAAAGTCAAAGTATGTATAAAAAATGTCAATTTTTACCTTCAGTTATAAAATATAAATCACTCATTGTAGCTCAAATTCGAGTTAGAGCAGAGAGTACACAATTTAGTGAAGAAATCATAATCGAACCTACTCAAGATATATTTTTATTCGAAAAATCTTCATTCTTAATAGAAAGCTCGTAAAATCAGCTTCTATCAACAAACTTGGTGATTAAGATAACTTTACAAAGAATGCAAAAAATCCTTTTTCTTTTATTTTGATTTGTAGTAAAATATTCGATACAGTATTAGATTCAATTAAGCTTCAAGTAATGTGGTATGCGATCATATTAAAATTTTAAAGTGGGTTCAACGTGTCAACATCCTCTTTTAACAAAGAAAAACTATGATTTAAGCAAATACTTCCTATCACTTTCTACCTATATTCCTTCTTTCACGGGAGAAGAATGTCACCTTTATTTTTCCTATTACTAGTACTTTTTTCAGCTTCGACTTCAGAGGTTTTTCTCATTTATCCCAAGTATAATGTTTCTTTTTTCTCAATCAGTAACAAATAATTACATATGAAATCACAAGGAACAAGAATTTGATTCAGACTGCTTGTACTACTTCAATGTATAGCTATTTAATCACGTGAATCAGGCAAACAAGTTCTTAGTTGTTCCGGCCCTTCCGGGGTACAACTAACTAGCGTACCCAAGCCTATTTCATTACCATTTGCTGATTTGGAGCAACTAGCCCCAAAACGAGCAACGAGCCAGTGACTATATGATTAAGGGCAAGTAAGCAGAAGCTGCACAACACCAAGAACAATGAACTATGACCATTAATTTGAACTATGACAAAATTCATACACGTATTTCCCAAAACAACCCCACATTTTTTCCCCTGATTCTTCCCCCATCAAACCCTGTAATGGTAACTTTCTGGAGCATAGATACAAGTCTAAGTTAGTGGAAGTCTGATAAACAGACTAACAGTTCAAATTGTGGCAAAAGTTGTGCTACATACACCTGAGTATATTCTCTGGCCTCAGTTGCACTTCATTCAATCTTCTTTCTTGTCGGTTTTATCAAGTGCTGCCAATCTTTCGACTAGGGGTGGGTGAGAATAGTGATAAGCTGAGTACCACGGATCTGTATTCATAGCTGACAAGTTCTCTTCCTGTTATCAGAAAATATAGATTCAGAAACACGCTTTCCAAACAAGTATTGATACCATCAAACCCAGACTTTTTATACACAGATATGCATGAACATATCAAGTACAATTCCATATGCATTAATGGCAAGAACGAAGCATAACAGAAGCTCAAGCAATGTAATGAGTAAGGCTTGTAGACTTGTAAGGCAAAAGAACTCGACTACTTGCTAAACACAGTGTACTAGTAGTATAAATGAAGAATATAATATAAACTGACATAATTTCATTTGACATATCCAAAAAACAAAATGGAATACATTACCTGCAATTTTACAAGACCGGCCTTGAGCTCATTTGCATATCCTAGGTTCTTCGCAAAAGCATCAGCCTGTGCAAGAGCAAATAGTTGATCAAAACATGAACCAATGATTCTAGTACAACTGTAAAAGAGACAACATTGAGTCAAAGATGTCACCTGAAATTCAAAAGAGCGGCTGACAAGATTCAGGGCAAAGTTTACAAGGTGCTGGAGAGGTATCACAGTGTGCTGAATTCGGAAAAAAAGAAAAGAAATTAATGTGTTACTAAATGCTCAGGAAGCAAACAGTTTAATTAACTGAAACTAAAATTTGGAAAATACATATCCAGCATGCAGAAAAGAAGCACACAGCAAGAAATTAGGTGGGTAGTGTAAAGTCATAAAGCAGAAAGATGCCCATGCTAATCTTGATAGATACAGAATAGCGCATGACTTGGTAGAAGGAACTCTATTCAAAGAAGAGATTTATTTCATCATAGTAAATCTAGAAAGGCTCAAGAAGCATTGACAGCTAAGTCTGCCCAACAAGACATTCACAGCAAAAACATGAATGGTACATTCAGAATTGATCCAAACCTGAAAAATGATTAGACCGATGAGCACCGGCTGTACACCATGAAATCCAAAACTCTCAAACAGGTCCTTTGAATTTCTCACAAGAGTATATCCTCCAAATTGCAATAAAGTAAGAATCTGCGTGAGTTAAAATAAATAAATCCATTATCAGATTATTGAGGACCTCAGTCAGAAGAAAACATATTGGGCTGAGTAGCTCATGAAATCATCAATTTTAGATATCTATCAACTGCAAGATAACTTTTATTCAAAGAGGTCAATGTTTATCAAAGAATTTCATCATTCATTAGAATAATGTCCCAACAAATATTGGCAATTCCCTTTAAATTTTTAAGGCTCACAAAATTCTTACAGAAGTATCATAAAAATCTAACAAGAAGTCACCAGATAGTTACAGCTTCAAACTAACGCTTTTTGATAAAGCCCACATCACATCAGATTTTAAAAACATACTGACAGTCCTATTCACTAAGCTAAGTTTCACTGAGACGATAGCTTCATTACTATCATATTACTCCTACTATTCTGGAAAGCACAAAATATGTTGTACACAGACACTTCTAAGATAAGAGGCTCAGCTGCATGTTAAATGGTATTACACGACAGTTTATTCTGCAACAACTATGGCTAGTTCCACTTCCTATATATGAAGCAATTAACTAGAGTATAAATAACCTGGTAAATATGAAAAATTGAACATCTCAAGTTCCAGATTTTGTTCTGTATGAACTAGAGATTCATTACTCTGTAACCAAAAGAAAAATTAGAGGACATTGTGAAGCAGGTGGAATCTAGTCAGTCTGAAGTTTTTTTTTCAATTATGCAGCTAATAGACAAGGAGAGTAGATCAAACTTTGGCCTACTCTAAGCCAAATTAACAAAAGAGAAAGCAGACAAAAAAATGACAAGTTATACCTGGACAGCAATGAAAGAATACATGGTATGATTGAGTTTCCAGTGCCCTAGTTCATGTGCAATAACCGCAACAACCTCCTTGTCATCCTTGCACTGCGAAACCATCAACAATCCAACATCAATTCCCAAAAATATCATAATGTGTTTGCAATTTTCGAAATTGTTCAAAAAATTGACAGGAACAAAAAAAAAGGCATTGTAATTTCACAATCAGCAACTTCTAGAACACATCAATGAAAGGTAAAGACACAATTTTTTTTTTAAAAAAAAAAAAAAAAAAAAAAAAGCATTTTAAATTCACCAGCAACTTATAGGACACATTACCAAAAGATAAAGACACTGTTGAGCTAGTGTTTACTAAATTAGAACAGAGCACACAAATGCCACCAGAAATCTGTTAAAGCAGCCTTATTTAAAATAAAATAAAATAAAATCTTGCTGCAGATTAAAAATAAGAATGTTTTGTTAATATGAGAGAATAGTCATGAGCACTAAGAATACAAAAGGCCAAGGAATATAAGGTGACAAGTATAGTTCAGTAATTAAATTATATAGGTCCAGTACTGAGCTTACCTGCTGAATCAATGTATCGTAGAGGACAATACGCTTGTTATTGAAGAAACCATACATGTAAGCCTGCAAATCAATAGGAAACAAAAAGATAAGATACATATTTCTATCTGCATTCCGGTAACTGCCAAAAGCATATCATGCACACAGAAAAGATACAGGTGGTTTGGCTGGATTGGAGCATTAATAATTGTATTTTCCACAACATGCATAATGAGGTCGAGGTGTTACAAGATCTTACAGGACTTCTAGAGATTCTTTAGACTGCTGCATTGATTAGCTATTTGATTTTGGATGTTCAGCACCATATTTTTACACTAAAATTGGATGCATGTATTCTGGTTTCTTTCTACTAAAATTTTCAACTCCAAAATATTACTAAGCTAAGAACAGAAGATATACATAAAATTGCATACCATCCTCAAATTTCATCAAGCAACTCTGAAAGCAACTTTGCATTAACCTAGTCTCATATCTCTAACTTGACAACTGAATCATCTTTCAAGGCCACATCAGTTTAAATTATCTAGACAAGGGAAAAGTTTCACCATTAAAAAGATTTAAATACTCTGTATAGGACAAGTTTGTCCACTAAAAGATGGAAAAAAAAAAAAAAAAAAAAAAAAACATCCCATGTCAATCACCTTGTACATCATATAAGGATTTTTCAGAAGGAATCAAGCAGAGTCTAAAAAAACCCTATCCCAAAAGATCCTACCATTTCCAGGCCAACCACAAACCAAATAAATAGACCAACATGCAGAGCACCAGCACAGTTCATTGATGTACTATTTTGATGCTTGTAAGTTGTAACCACAAAAATGGAACAAAAGACATGTAGATCGTAATATGCCTTGTACCAAAACAGCATCAAGAGCTTATGTTATCATATCAGCCAACTAATACACATGAGGGCACAAAATGAAAATCTAATAGAATTCCCATCAAATGACAAAATCACAGTAAACAAACAAGTATCACGTACTAAGCTGCAAAAGAGCAGTAAAATGCTAGGGTCATGAGAGTTACGAAACCAATTCTGCTTACAGAATTTTACTTTTAACAGCAATTTGGTTGCTGCATATTTAAAAAAAACTAACTCTTCCAACCTCAAATCTCAGTTGTTAATTTATTATTATTTTTTTGGGAAGGTACACACTGGGCCTTGCCACTAGGATCTGATCAAAACAAAAACAAGAAGAGGTTTTATGGCCTGGGAGGGGAAATGGTGAGAGTTGAACTTGGGTCTTGGCCCCTTGGGTGTGGGAGGAGGTACCCTTACCACCACACCCAAGTTCTTTTCTCCTCACTTTTTGACTTTGATCCTTCTATTTTCAAAACACAATATAGGAAGGCAAAACAACAAGAAGCAAACAGCAGCATAAATGAAAAAAAATAAAAATATTTCTCATCAAGTAAAATTTTGAAAAAAAATTACACACACATACCCACATAGATTAACAGCTATTCGGCCTATTCCTTTAGCAACCCTAAAACTTCCAGGTCGCAATAAAAAGTTGCCATTAAGCATCACTTAAACTATTTAGTACAGCAAATCAACCTTCAAAGACTAGTCGTAGGTCCCATGATATGTTTCAATACAAAGGTTGCATAATAGTTTAAAAGTAATCAGTTAGTAATGCAGGCTTTAGAAAGAAAATAATGCAAATATAACAGCTGAGAACTCACATTGCTATGGCTAGACCTGGTTGATCCATCCACCACAAATAATTTCTTTAAAGGAAATTTCAGTGAAGAGGCGAGCTCCTCAATTTTCGTCCTTAGCTCTCCTTCAGGAAGCTATTTTCCACCACATTCCACACAGAAATAAATTAGGCTACATATAAATTATAATCTGCGTAAAAAATCAGAGAAACTGAGTGACATTATACATACCGGGGTGAATTTGTTAAAAAGAGGAGCAATCAGAACAGGATAGAGGGTCATCATCACAATAGACAGAGCAAACATGAATCCCCAGAGGTAGATAGCCAAGTACGGGCCACCTTTCTGCAATTAGGGAAAAAAAAATGAATCCTTTACAGAATTTATAGGCAATAAAGGATATCAGCCATGCAAAAGCAAAGTGAGCAGCGGTCAATACCTGTACAATGACAATCATTGCAGACACGATAGGAGGTCCAATCACAATTGCAAGAACTATACTCTTCACCATATCTTTAAAGAACAACCATACAGTTTGCTGCACAGCACCATAAATAATATTCAAAAATTTAATAAGAAAAGTTAAGTCACCCAATACACAGGAGGAAAAAAAATTTAGATTGGATTTACCTTATTAAACCCGTGGCGAGCTTCAATCACAAAAGTTGAGTACAGAGAAACTGGCAAATCAGTGATCTGCATTAGAATATACCTTAACTTGTAAGTTTCAGCTACCATACATTTACGTTATACACCACAATATCCTTCAAATTTTGCACATAAACATAGACAGAAATATAAAGAGAGAGTTTTATTGATATATATATATATATAAAAATGCATCACACAACAGCAACAAAAAGTATTTGAAACAGATATCTCCCAATTTTATTTTATTTTAAACAACAAACTTTTAGTGCATGTATATCACCCTTTTGGGATAAGGTTTTGGCATTGTAGTTGTGGTAGTAGGTTAATCATCTTATTTTACCATAGCAAGCGCGTGTCTGTGAATCAGTTTCAGGCTGCGCCAAAGGACTCTCATCTTTACTAACCTTCCCATATTACCCTTTATACATTAATTTAGCCAATCATTTCCCACCCATTTACCAAACCACATACTAACAAAGCTTTGAAAATTCACATTAAAAACATAACCTCAAACTACACTCTAATATATAGCAACAATTTCAGAATGAAGACGCAACAGTTCTACATAATTCAAGCACATGTTCTGCATAACTAGCTTTTGGGACAGCCTTACACTGTATGTAACTCATTTAATTAAAAAGAAAATTAATTTATAAACAGGACAAAGTAAATGAGTTAAAAGCAAATGACTTCTGTTCTGTTCCCATATAAATCAGAAGAATCAACAACAATAATTTATGAGATGGGGAGAAGACTAATACATAAAATCAGGGGTCAGGACCAAAACAATTGTTGTGTGAGTGTGTGTGCTCAGCCACAAAACCAATTGATAATCCTGACCGTTTAAAATACAATAGATACAGGGTTAGGTTCTTCAGCCAGACAGTGGATAAGTTGACAAGTCCAGGACCCAAGTGTTATCAGTTTCTAAACACCAAGCGTAAGTGTGATAAGGTAGGTATTGACAAATACCTGTGACCAAATCATAACACCAGCTAAGAAAGCCAAGGTGTGCAATATTTCATTTTCAGCATTAAGGCCTGCATACACTAAAAAGTCTCCCGCTTTCTGCGTACAAGAAAAGAGGAAGGACCAAAGCAAAAGAAAAAAAAGAGAAAACTTAGTCAGAAACAATATGAAGTATTTTACAGCAGGTTCACTAGCAAACAACAGTACATGATTCAGCCACTCACATTCCAGAACCATGGGAGTATCCCAAAGTATAAAATTCCTGAATCTAACACTATAGTTACAAACTCGTGAACAAAATGGAAGGCACTGCATTTAAAAAAAAAAGAAAAAGTCATTATCTGCAGGTGGGAAAGAAACAATGAAAGAAGAAAGCTTGATAACTCTTTGTAATACAAGTGGATGATTTGAAAAGAAAAAAAAAAAACTAGCAATGAACCTTTTATCAAGACTATATGCCCGGGATTTCTCAAATTTCTCTTGGCTAATCACTCCTTCCAAAGGTTTGGGGAGTGTCGGTAACTTGTGAGCAGAATGTTGACGTAAATCCAGATAGGTTTCAAAGAAATACATCAGTATCATAAAACCTGAAGTTGGATAGTAAACAAGAAAATGTCAAGAAAGTAGTGAAGCAAAATGGCACATCTACAGAAATATTAACTAAAACAGATGACCAAGAAACAAAAGAACTGTAAACCACAGCACAAACAACAGTAGAGCAGACATTTGTTCTTCTGAATTTCCATTACATTAAATCATCAAAGCTGTTTAAGTAGACAAATTGCACAATAAACCTCAGTTTCATTTTCACAGTATGATGATTACAGCGGCTGCTAAAAAAGTAGATAGATAAATTATCAATTAAACATACTATAACAACTATCGATGCTTGATTTTGTCAAAAACTACAAAATCCACTTTACAACATATATTTAATGCATACAGTTTTCCCTTAGGGATGCATATTTCATAATCAATATGTTTGTAATATATGAATATATGTTTAACTTATTGCTCTCGGGTGTTCCTCTATTTCATTTTCTCAATCAAAGGAATTCTTTTTCCAAATTAATTTTTCCTGTACAGATATAACACTCTAGGAATCTTTACTATTGTTACAAGAAGCAATTTTTTTTTTTAAAAAAAAAATAAGCAATCATATATCTGACTCTTCATATTTCACACTTCCTCGGAGTAGATGCTTCAAGCGTAGAGTGTCTCAAAAAAAAAAAAAAAAAAAAAAAAAAATCTCTCTCCTTCCCTCCCCAATGTCTTCCACACACTCCTATCTTGAGCTTCTTGCGCGAAGTCATGAAATGGGGAATGAACATGTACCATATATAAGGAGTATTTTGTCATTGGAATAGAGGGGTGAAGGGAAAATTCCATCCTCATCTTCACCGCATGCTTATAGTCATCCCAACCACCCTATGTTTTGTGTTCCTCAGCATTCCCTAGTCCCCTATCTTTGCTAAATTTACATGAAATAAGTACTAATAAGGCAAAAGGAAAAGACTCGTGTGTTTTACATCAATTTTAACAAATCTTATATTGGTAATTCACCTTAAAATACAACAAAACCCTAAAGGTTGCATTTATATTCATATAAGATGGCTCCATATGAACTTCCAAGGATTAACTCTGTTAATTCAACTTCTGCACCCAAATCAGCTAGATACCACTTCTTCCTTTGACAGCGCCTGGTCCTTATTTCATACAGAAATTCAAATTTTTCTTCACCTTCAAATACTTCTTTTCCTAATCTAGATTATAAACATCTGAAACATCTTTAAAATCCCTCCCAATTCAATTATTGCAATAACCTTCCCTTGAGCAAAAGATCAACCCACAAAGTTTACTATAACGAGTAACAATATTGCCCAATAATCAAAACAGCTTTCTTAATTCACCAGAACTTCCAAATACAGTGATAATCAAACATCCTAAAACAGTATAATAACAACAAACCGAATGAACGAAATCAGAAACAATAATATTGACACACAAATGAATGCATGTAGCATCTCAATAAAACACCAATGCACCATTAATTGAGCTGCAATGCCACAAACACAAATCCAATCCAAAAAAATAGGTATCAAAAGCTTAAACCCAAAACCCCCATTAAAATTAAGATTGTAATTTATATCAAATTGCAATAAAAACAAATCAAAACAAACAAATCAGATACTGGGTATGAACAAAAACAAGAAAGAACGAATACACGTATAAGTTTAAACGATTCAGAACAAGCTACAAAACAAACAACAGAGATTTAAAATCAGAAACCCAATTAAAAATAGAAATCTTGAATTGAGTAATGAAGAACAGGGAAACATACCAACGACGGCTTCCAGATAAGGAAACGTCATGGCTGAATCGAAGAAAAATGGGTAATTTTCTGGGAATTTGGAGAGAGAAAGAAGAGAGTTTTAGAGAAGGTGGATGAATATGAATGAAGAAAGAAGAGCAGGTATAATACTGATGTTACAATCGTCAAGTCTCAAGTGTAGAAATGACCCGGGTATTATTTTATTATATGGGCGGGTCAAACACTCAAACCTTAGAATTGGTGGGTTTTTTTTTTTCGTTTCGTGCACTCCTTAGAATTGGTATTTGAGACTTGCGAGAAAACTAGAAACACTGAGCATACGTTTTGCGCTACAGAACTTGTTGTTTGGGCGGGTCAAACAATTTTTCTAAAGAAATGTTTTTTTTTTTTTTTTTTTTGGGTAAATAATTCTAAAGAAATGTTGCTAAGAGGAAACTACTACGGAGCAGTAACATTTTGCATCGGTCTTGATATTTATCGTTCATGTAGGATTAGTGTGTACGAGTGTTTGATTGATTTTTAACTTAGCTATTTTTAGTTTGAGTATTAGTTATCAACATATGCTATCTTGTAAAAAAAAAAAAAAAACATATGCTATTTTTTCAAGGAACACCTGTAAACGAATTTTGTGAAACAACAATTAGTACTCAATGATTTATAATAATTAGTTAATTAATTTATGATTACCAATAAAATTTGGTCTAATGTTTAAGATTAAGGCCCCGTTCAGTTCACTTTACAAAAAATAATATTCAGTAAAATTAAATTCATTTCAATAAAAATAATTTCAGTTTAGCAAAAATTAGTAACTCTAAAGAAGAAATATAATAGAGAATCAGTAAAAATAATTTCAGTTGAGCAAAATTAATTTCAGTACAGTAAAATTAATTTCAGTTCAGTAAAAATAATTTAAGTTTAGCAGAAATAATTTCAATTCAATAAAATTAATTTCAGTTTAGCAAAAATAAGGTGAAGTAAACGGGGCCTTAAGGTGTAAGATAACAAGTTTAAATTCTTCACCCCCTAAGCTTCCATTTTATAGATTGAACCACTTGTTATTTATTCGTATGGAGCTTCAATTTTAATTTATAGGCTTTCATTAGAGGAGATATATAGAAATGAAAACATATTGCTTTTGGGACATTATCCTAATTCTGTAATTCAAACCCGAACCCTTTTACATGGATCTAGATCCGGACAATATTCGTGTGATCCAAATTTTAAATCGGTATCCAGTTCAATCAAATTTAGATGGTCCAGTTATATGGATCTGATCTCTTGTACTTTCTTTCATCAGAAAAAATAACCTACAAAAATTATCCAAACAAAAATAAAAATACAGTATCAATCTATCACTTCTTATAAACTAGACTTTAGATGCTAATATATCTGTTCGTATTCACAAAACTACAATGCCTACTGTAGTTCTCTGTATCTACTAGTATCACAACCATAAGCATCACAATTCACAAAGCTTTCAGTCCTATGGTTGTAGTAATTTCAGAACTTAATGCTCCCCTAAATCGTCTAATGAGTAATCTGCCTGCTCGGCTTCAAAATTTGCTTCAACAGAGCCATTTTTGGGACATTCCAGTGCTCCACATGCCTGCCATACACAACAAGAGGAAAATCGAAATCAAGGCATGAAACAAGAAAAAACAAACATTGAAAAAAATGTACTTCGTACTTCATTTTGTTGTGACATACCTGCAAACTTTACCAGATCTTGGATCATAATAGTACTCTGTATAACCTGTAGCTGCAATATAATAATCATCCAATGGTTCTTTAGAGATTCTCCTTGAAGTTAAAACGGAAAGACATACAAAGTATATAGTTTATAAGTGTAGTTAGAAAGACTAAAAGATACTACAAACTTTCTAGAAAGGGCAAAAAGTTGTAAGCCCAGAGAATTATGTATGTTTTATATGGAGTATGAGCTTATCATTTATCAAAGTTCCACTTGTAATCTCTAAACATAGTTGAACAATCAAAGTTCCACTCCTAGCCAATATAACATATATAAACAATGGCCCAATCTGACACTTGATCATATAATCACAATCCAATAATCCATGAACTACTTAAACATGTTGCCAGAAATCGGTTTTATGACACATTTTTCCACCACGACAACCCCAAATTTCTAATTGGCAGCAACAACAGAGAAATTCTATTTGAAAGATGGTTGCAACAGTGTGAAATTCAAACTCTTTACAGCCAAGCAAAACTGGTGACGTGTTCTAAGCTAAGGTATGCAAGTATAGAGAGTATGTCACAGTATGTACCTAGGTTGTCGAATACATAGGGACTGATAAATGATCATGAATCAAATTATTTTGTGGATTAAATTTCACTTGGTTAGCTATAATTCCTTTCGGGCCTTACATTTCCTAGGCATTGAAAGAAACATAAGATTCATGTGTGAACGAACACCTACCAGAAAGGATAGGCTTCCAAGGGAAAGACATGATACAGCTGAAACGCCAATGTCCAATACCCTTGTCCTGTAGTTGCACCAAATTAATCAGGAAAAATATTTAAAACCAAATGCAGGGAGTGGTAAGTGCCAGGTAAAGTTACCTCAAAGTCTTCCCACTTCATGAGTTTCATGTCAGACTTTTTGATAAGGGAACCAAAGTTAGTGCAGTTCCTCTTAAATCGCCTAAGCCCTTTAAAGGAACCCGCTGGATCAGCAAATTCACAGTCCTCTTCATATGCACCAAGCGTCAGATTTCCTGAATTTAAGCACCAATTACACCAGCCAACCTATGAAATACTGAAGTATGATTTTAATTAAGCATAAACGATTTTGGATAACAATTTTGTTTTACTTAAATATGCGAGCAGAGTAGTAGGGAAACGCAAATATACAGTAGAGATGGATTTCGAATTCAAGTCTGAAGTCTCTGGCATCAATCACACTAATTTGGACAAGAATTTAACTAATCTGTGACAAGTCTATATACACATATAGTATTCCCTCGGTTCTTAAATGATACGCCACTTTCTAATATAATTGGCTACTTTCAAATTTTAGCAAATTAGTGAGTATATTTTAACCTTAACAGAATAACCAACCCTAATTATAACCTAGAATAAAAGTTCCAAAAGAAGATTACAGTACATTGATATGGTGAAAGGTGAATATGTAAAAGATTATACAGTAAAGGATAACTATGATGTAATAACCAGATTAGTATTGCTGAGTGACTGCATACCTGTGACAAAGTAAGATCTTTGGAAGTCTGCTTTAATCGTTTCAACTACAGCAGCTCGATCAATGGTTCCAGACTCATCACAGGGAAGCTCAGAATATTCATCGATCACATCATCAGAAGGCGGTGATCGGAAAATTGAAGCAGCTATGCCAAGCAGTTCAGAAGCATACCATGCTACCTTAAGCACCACATTTTCAGGTTCACTCCCATCTTCCTTCTGTGTTGTCACTGAAGCATTGTTGCTCCTTGTTACTGAATTCTCCTTATTAAGTCCATAACACTTGAATCTGTAGTTTTTGGGGGGAGATTCATGAAGCTTAAAAGAAGTCAGATACCTGTAATCCGTACTCAGGTGGAGAGATGCAGAACCATGTGAAAGAAAAGAAGCCATTTGTGTGCAGGTATCTCCCTTGAGAGAGATTTGTGTCTTTCTTTATCTGTCTGTGGGGACAGGATAAAAATTGTGGCCAGGAAAATTTTAAAATAATAGATGGTGTTAAAAATAAAAGTTTTTCTAACTATAGAATGATATTAGATATTTTATGAAATTGAAGATAGAAGAGAGTAAATAGAGCAAGTAGGAAATCCGGTTATTTTTCTTCTTACTTCTTTAGTTCACAAAACAGTGAACTTATTTATAGGCAAATATTACCATTAAAATATTTTACATAATTGTACTTTTATACAAATTATTGTCCGAAATTTGTTCATGTGATGAGCTACAAATTGTTGTGTTACAAGTTCATGTGAACTTTACTTTTGACATTTTCTCCAACACTCCCCCTTGAATGTTCACATGAAATGGGGTATGGGTTGCCTTAAAGAAAAATATTATATGCTTTGATATACTGCCTCGTTAAAAACCTTGTCAGGAAAAACTCATTGGGATAAAAACCTGATCGAAGGAAAAAAGAGCGCAGTGCATATAATGCTCCCCCTATTTCAGCATAGTTCACGAAGATGTCGCATTCCAATTTTGTGAACTAATCGCTCAAATTTCTTGGAAGGAAGTGATTTGGTGAACAAGTCAGAAAGGTTGTCACAAGACTGAATTTGCTGGATATCTATTTCCCCATCCTTTTGCAGATCATGTGTGAAGAATAGCTTTGGGGATATATGTTTTGTTTTATCTCCCTTAATATATCCTTCAGTTACTTGAGAGATGCATGTTGTATTGTCTTCAAAGATGGTGGTTGGATTTTATGTTATTGCTTTCATTCCACACTCTTCTTGGATATTAATAATCATCGACCTCAGTCATACACATTCTCGTCCTGCTTCATAAAGGGCTATCAACTCTGCATGATTTGAGGATGTCACAGTCAACATCTGCTTTGTTGATTTCCATGATATTACAGTGCCGCCATAAGTGAACAGATATCCATTTTGTGACTTGGCATTTTGAGGATCCGATAAATATCCAGCGTCGGCATACCCAATGAGGGCAGCATCTTGTTTCGGTTGATAATATAGACCAAGGTCTTGTGTCCCTCGTAGGTACCGGAGTAGGTGTCGAACTCCCTTCCAATGCCTATATGTTGGTGCAATGTTGTGCCTGACTAACAAGTTCACAAAGAAAGCTATGTCATGTCTAGTGTTGTTAGCTAAGTACATTAAGGCTCCAATTGCATTTAAGTATGGTACTTCCGGACCCAAATTTTTTTCATTTCCTTCTCTTGGTCTGAATGAGTCGTTTTTCATACTTAAAGAACAAACAACCATTGGGAAGTTGATTGGAGTTGCTTTGTCCATGAAGAATCTTTTCAAAACTCTTTCTGTATAGTTTGATTGATGGACAAAAATACCATGACTCGAGTGCTCGATTTGCAATCCAAAGCAAAATTTAGTTTTTCTAAGGTCTTTCATCTCAAATTCTTTCATCAAGTATTTTGCAGTTTTCTCAAGTTCATTTGGGGTTCCAATAATATTCAAATCATCAACATAAACCGCAATAGTAGCGAATCCTGATTATGATCGCTTTATGAAAACACATGGACTAATTTGGTTGTTCTTGAACCCTTCTCTCACAAGGTATTCACTGAGATGGTTATACCACATCCTTCTAGATTGTTTCAATCCATAAAGTGACTTTTTTAGTTTTATGGAAAGTCATTGTCTAGGCTTGTGGTTTTCTGGTAGTTTTAGTCCTTTCGGGGACTTTCATGTAAATGTCTGTATCGAGTGACCCATATAAATACGCAGTCACTACATCTATTAATCGCATTTATAGTCCTTTTGTGACTGTCAAACTTACCAGAAATCTTAATGTAGTTGCATCAACTACTGGAGAATATGTTTCTTCATAATCAATCCCTGGAATTTGAGAAAATCCTTGGGCTACAAGTCTTGCCTTGTATCTAACTATTTCCTTTTTCTCATTACGTTTTCTCACAAATACCCATTTGTTTCCAGCGGGTTTTACACCTGCTGGTGTAAGAGTTATTTTTCCGAAAACTTCTCGCTTTTCAAGTAACTTCAACTCAGCCAGCATTGCCTCCTTCCACTTTGGCCAATCACTTATGTGTCAACATTCTTCCACTTTTCTTGGTTCAACACCATTTTCATCAGACACAATGTCGATTGCGATGGAATTTGCAAATATTTCATCAACGATAACATCTTTCCTATTCCACTGAGTCTTGGTAGATACGTAATTCATTGAAATTTCATTGTTATCGATGTTTTGAACATCTTGTTCATTCCCCGTAAGGTTGTTTTCTTGTTCGTCCCCTTTTGGATTATCATCATTTTCTTTACTTTCATCCACATTTGGTCTTTCTTGACCTTCTGACGGGGGAACATCATTAGTCTCATTTTCTATTCCATCCAATCTTTTCAATTTCCTTGGTTTAGAATCTTTTGAACCAAGTGGTCTTGAGATTCATTCTCAATGGCCTTATTATCAGTTGGGATTTCAATACGTGCAGGGGCATTTTCTGATGGTATATGTGATTTTGTCACTTTCTTTGTGTCTACAAATGCACCAGGCAATTTATTTGCAACACTTTGTAAATGAACAATTTTCTTGACTTCTTGTTCACACATATTTGTTCGTGGGTCTAACATCAACAGTTGTGTTGCATTCCAAATAAGTTCTATTTCTTTCTTGCATGGGTGCACTTTCTCTCCCCCTAAGGCTGGGAATACTGCTTCAGTAAAGTGACAGTCAGCAAATCTAGCCGTAAATAAGTCACCAGTCAATGGTTCAAGATATTTAATTATAGAGGGGGATTCAAACCCGACATAAATTCCATCCCAGCCTTCTTTGTGGACCCATTTTTATTCGTTGGGGTGGAGCAATGGGAACATATATAGCACAACCAAACATTTTTAGATGTGAGTTACTTGGTTATCGACCACAAACAAGTTGTAGTTGAAAATAATTTATGATAAGTTGTAGGTCTCAATCTAATTAGTGCTGGTGCATGTATTATAGCATGTCTCCAAGCAGATGATGGCAATTTTGACCTCATTAATAATGGTCTTGCAATCCCTTAATTAGTGATTCAGCTAGACCATTTTGTGTGTGAACATGAGCTACTGGGTGTTCAACCTCAATTCCGATTGACATACAATAATCATTAAATGTTTGGGATGTAAACTCCCCAACATTGTCGAGTCTTATATTCTTTATTGTATAATCTGAGAATTGTGCTCTTAATTTGATAATTTGGGCAAGTAATTTTGCAAAGACAACATTTCTACTTGAAAGGAGACTGACATGTGACCATCGTGTAGAAGCATCAATTAAAACCATGAAATATCGAAATGGTCCACATGCCGGATTAATTGGCCCACAAATATCTCCCTGAATTCTTTCCAAGAATTTTGGAGATTCAATAGCAATTTTGTTCATAGATGGTCTTATTATTTGCCGAGTGAACATGCAGAGCATGTTAAATCATCCGATCGAGGAATTTTAACATTTCTTATTGAATGTCCAACTGAATTCGCTATTATTCTTTGCATCATCTCAGTTGCTGGATGTCTCAAACGATCATGCCATAAAATAATCAAATGTTTGTCATCTAACTTCTGGTTATATATCATATTGATTTCCACGGGTCATATGTTTATACAATATAACCCCGAAGAATATGCTGGAAATTTCTCATAAATGTGTTTCTTGCCATATTTTCCTACCATCCTTTTGGCCTTTTGTCATTGTTTCTAAATGATAGCCATTTTGGCGTACATCGTTAAAGCTTATGAGATTTCTTCGAGATTTACTCGAGTATAAAGCATAATTGATTATCAATTTTGTTCCATTTGAAAGCATTATACAAGCCTTTCCAGGATCCTTCAATTAATTTTGCTGACCCAGAAATAGTGTTTACATTTTCCTGAAACAACTTTAGTTGTGAAAAATATTTTCTATCCTTCAAGATAGTGTGTGTTGTTCCACTGTCCAAAAGGCACTGATATTCGGAACCAACTTCAGGCATATCCATATCTTCATAAAATAAATATGAGATTAGTTTAGAATTATATCATACAAACTCTTATTGATGATAGAAATTAAAAATACATGACTAGACATTTAAAATACAATACATAACAGAAAATACATTAAAACGTAGTATATATTACATTAGTAGATGGGTTATCTAAGTATTGTAATTTTCTCCAAATATGAAATCATTTCCAATTTCAGCATTGTCCATGAAGAAATCGGACACATCAAGGGTTGAACATGGAACATTTTCTTCATTAACATAATTTGCTTCTGCATTTTTCTCTCTGCCTTTTACGGAAGCCTGGTAAAGGTCTACCAAATGTTTGGCCGTACGACAAGTACGTCCCCAATGTCCAGTCATGCCACATCTGTAACATGTGTCTTTTCCTTTTGAAGGAGTTTGTTTGTGGCTTCCAGATGACTGTCCCTTCTATTTTTCAGAATTTTTGAAATTACTGTTTCTTTGAAAATTATTTCTACTACGTCCTCGGCCTCGTCCGCAATAATTTCCACGGCCATTGTAATTTTCACGTCCACCTCTTCGTGTAGCATTTGCCTCAGGTGGATAAGAACTTGTTGCATTTGCCTCATGATGAGTGGCCAGAGACCCAGTTGGTCTAAGATTATGATTTTTCAACAAAAGATCACTATTTTGTTTCGCAACAAGCAACACATTCGTTAATTCATTAAACCTTTTGAAACCTCTTTCATGATATTGTTCTTGCAATAGTATGTTGCTTGCATGAAAGGTAGTGAGTGTTTTTTCAATCATCTGTTCATCGGTGACTGGATGATCACAGTATCTCAATATAGATACTATCTCATGTATGGTTGAATTGTAATCAATTACAAATTTGAAATCCTGGAACCGTAAATTTGTCTAGTCAAATAATGCCTTAGGAAGGAACACCCTTTTGTGGTGTCCAAATCTTTCATTAAGGCAATCCCATAATTCTTTGGGATCTTCAACCATCTTGTACTCAATTTTAATGCCTTCATGTAAATGACTTAGTAACACTAAGGCTTTTGCCTTTTCGTGTTCAGTAACAGGTTTTACAACCGTCATTGCAAAAGTGGTAGTATCAGTTGTTTGAATAGAGGGACTTTTATTATCTTTAATAGTGTGCTCCAACCCTTGAGCTTTCAAATTCATCACGGCATCCACTTTCCATTCCAAAAATTTCTTTCCAGATAAATCTAGGATGCTGGATTGTCTTTTCATAAGATCTCCCATTTTAACTACAACAAATCACGTGATAATTAGTTTATAATAATAAATCATATGTACAACACATATGTTTAATTCTTCCATATTTATAGTTTGTTAATGAAACACATGATAATTAAATTTATTTAACAATAATAAACCATAAATAATATATTTCTTTTCTCCCCCTTGGTTTAATATTGTGAGTAATTATATAATTAGGCAAAAATAAATCATTTAGTCGCATAAACAGCAAAACGACAACAACAACAGTAGTAACAATAATTATAATAATAACGGTAATATTATACAATGATGATTAATAACAACAAAACGACATAATAAAACAAAAACATGCTTTAATCTACTAAAACGACAAAATAAACAAACTTCACTTGTACATCATGACAAAAATTAATATTGCCACTAACAGAATTACAAGCGCCATAATTAGAAGAAAATATTGTTTTATCTTCCTTAAATCTTCCTCAAAAGTGAAGGTGTGGGTGTTTTGGTTGCCGTCGTCGGGGAACATATCGGAGAAGAAGAGGGTGGAAATTTTTGGGTGATTTTTGGATAAAAAAATGGGAAAGGATAAGGGATTTGTGGTGAAATCGGGGGGAATCTGCCTTTTATAGAGGTAGATTTATTCGTTACTATTCTGTTTAACTGTAAAAATATCATATAATAGTCTAATGTACTGGCAAAATTATGGTCCAAATATAAATATTTATAATTGTAAAAGGTTATCACACTGGGAATGCAAGCCATAGTGGTCCGAGAGCCCTAATATCTATAAAAGATCATAAAGAAAGAAAAATAAGTATAAAAAGGCTGCATCTTTTTGTCAATTTAGTTAATAATTGCATGCAAGGTTACTACTAAAATCAAATTTTACGTAAAAGATGAGCATGTAATATCAACATGCATGAATCAAACATCAACATGAATAAAACAAGGGAGAATAGTAATGAATTCATAAATAAGAGGATTTCTCCACCGTTGTTTTGATACAGTAAATGTTTGAGTTTCTGGTATAGAGGATCCCAAAATATGGGCAACTGTAGAGCATACTCCTCAAAACATTTAGAAGTAAATAGTATTTATTTGTTATAATTTTGAGAAGTAGGTATAAATATACCTAACTAAGAATTGGTGCTGATAACGTATTAAAAATGAAAGTTTTTCTAACTATAGAATGATATTGGTATTTTATGAAAATGGAGATAGAAGAGAGTAAATAGAGCGAGTAGGAAATCCAGTTGTTTTTCTTCTTACTTCTTTAATTCACAAAACAGTGAACTTATTTATAGGCAAATATTGCCATTAAAATATTTTATATAATTGTACTTTTATACAAATTATTGTCCTAAATTTGTTCATGTGATGAGCTACAAATTATTGTGTTACAAGTTCATGTGACCTTCATTTTTGGCATTTTCTCAACAGACTGATTATTTTCGACAACATGCCAAATATGGAGTATTGGAGCAGGCGCAATTAAATCATGGGCACGTAGACTAAAAGAGTATATAATGCATACGTAAAAGAATATGACATTACGGTGTAGAACATGAGATGTGCTGTTTTATTTTGTAGCAATAGTTAAAAGGAAAATTGTAATCTAATAATCCCACCTTTAGTCGGTCTTCCATAAACAATCCCACCTTTTGAAATTCCAGAAACAATCTCACTTTTGAGCCTCATCTTCCACTAACGATCCCATTGACCTACAACTTGTTAAGCAGGTTACTTTATTTATTTATTTATTTATTTTAACTATACTCCTTCTCAAGCCACTAGTCCAACCACCACCCAACACTCACTCCTTATCGCCACCCCCACAACCAAGCCACCACGAAACTCACCAACCACGCCGGAAAATCCAATAACCACCCCCGAAACCCAACCCCCACCACGAAAACTACACCCACTGCCACAAAATCCCCACACCAGCCCCCTTAAAGACTGAAACTCAATCCTCAGCCACGAAATACTCCACCCCAGCCACGAAATAGTCTACTCCGGCCCTGAAAAACGTCACCCATCGTCTCCAATTCAATTTTTGGTTTGAAATTAAATGCAAATTATTATTTCAATCATCTGAAAAATCAAATTGAAAGGGAATGAATTGATGAATTCAGAGGAGAGTGAAACATACCAAAGAGAAGAGAGAAAGAGAAGGAGAAGGAGAAAGAGGGGTTCTGGGCTGCGGATTGGGTTGGGTTTTTGGGGAAGCTAGGCGGCTGCAAGTGCTGATTTCGAGCTTCAGGGGTTGGGTTCCGGCGCCTTGAAGGGGTAGGTTGGGTTGCCGGGAAAAGCAAGGGCGGGGATGGGGAGGGGATGCGGTGGCAGGATGGGGAAAGGATACGGTGGCTAGGCTGGGGGTTTTGGTTTTGTTTTTTTTTATTATTATTTTTTTTTATTAGTTTGTTTTTTTTTAAAAAAAAAAAGTTAAATTTATTAAAACCTGACACGTGTCTTATAACCTATGAAAACCGGTTATCAAAACAATACAACCGGTAAAGGATTGTTAATGGAAGATGGGGGTTTAAGGTGGGATTGTTTCTATAATTTCAAAAGGTGGGATTGTTTATGGAAGACCGACTAAAGGTGGGATTATTAGTTTACATTTTCCCTAGTTAAAAAGAAAATCATACCGTACATGTTATTGTATCATAGTATCGGGCTCTTTTATATCTGCAGTTGTTCTATGGACAAATGAAGCATAAGGCATTATATATACTCTAATTTTTACCCAAGTGAAAAAAAAAAGTGTATATATAATTACACACACAATTAAGCAATTTAATTCCCAAAATTTTTTTACGATCCATGAAGAGCATAATTAGGAGATAAAAAACAATGACCTAGTAAATGGAATTTTTAAAAAGGGTAAAGCAGAGTGAATCTGATATGAAACTTGTTACATACTCCGTATCAATCTAATCCACAGGCTACAAAAAACTCCAGGACACCAAAATAAAAGAGAGACAAAACGAGAAATCTTTTCCTTGTATAGGATTGTTTCATTTAGCGAATTACTGAGCTTATAATTTGGATAGCTGCAGTAACTGATATTGAACAATTCAACAGTATTTCTAGTCTTTCAGCCATTAACTACTTCACAGCATCAGGTTAGTAAGGAACTGCCAAAGTGCACATTAGTAAGGAACTGCCAAAGTGAACACATCCGCATATGCAGACGCATCAACAACCATCTGATAAAAACAGCAGGCAGCTATGAAATGCTTACGAAAAACTCCGAACCAATTACTGACAATAGAGCCTGGGGAGATGGAAGCTTGGGGATCAAACAATCACATGAATGGCATGCCCCTGAGGAATTCCCAAGTAGTGAATCATCACAAAGATTTACAGCTGAAGCGCATCTGAAATTTCTAGGATATCATGTTATCATCTCAATAGCACCGGGTAAAATACATAGTTTCCTTGGAAGGAAACCTATATGTTCTCCATCAGACTGGATATAAATGGGATCGCCATCATCAATTTGCTCCACTTCAATTGAACGTACACTGCAACAAGTAGAAAGAGGCTTGTTTAAGCAATCACTCAAGAACCAGGACATGTTCAGTGGAACAGTAGATTAAGAAATCATAAGTGAAAAATAGAATTGACTTCCAGTGATTAACGCTTGAAAGTAGCGCAGAGAAGTCGGCAGATCTCTCCAGAGTCCAGTACCCAGATGCCAGATTCAATAGTCCCAGTTAAAGGCATGATGCACTATAGTCTTGGGATGTCAAGCAAACAAGTTTTGTATTCCTAAGCTAGAACATTATAACCACCAATTGTTACACTGAAACAAAGTTTTATGAGATTTGATGTTTCATGGTGAGCGGGCAAGAAGTTAAAGCGATGTACATTACCAAAAGAGCATACTTCCTCTGCTTTATTATGTAAGAGGTTGTTTGAAAATTTCAACGTATAGTTGTCAATATTCAGTTTTATATAGAATACAATTACAAGCTAAGATAGAAATGGTCAAAGTTGTAGGATGCCAAAGTCATTGTTGCAATGATTTTAGAAAAAAAAAATGAAAGAATTAATCAGGATCAAGTTAAACTTCTAGATCTTCAGTATAGAAGATGAGGTAAAATGGTTCGCATGCTTGAATAATCATAATTGAAGAATGAACTTTTGAAACAAAAAAAGCTCCATCACAACTGAGGCTAGTTATTGCAGAATACGCTAGATTCTTTACATGGGGAAAAACTGTAACAGAACGGAAACCAACATCCATTGGTCTGAATGTGTATCAAGTGTAATAATCATCAATATAGCTGACTAAATTATGGATCAGGTTGCCTAAAATTGAGAGCATACCTTCTTGATGTTACATTTCTAACAGATAGATGTGTCCCATTATACAACTTGTGCAATTTCAAAATGAAGTCGTACCACTTGAAATCCTGAAGGGCCACAACCTGCACATAAAGATTATCATAAAGTGGTCTGTAGGACAAACCATTCTTAGTCACAAAGTATTTCTAAAATCCTTCGATATCAATTGGAGTTGGAGATTTTTTGGTTCTCATAAACTAGCAATCCATTACTTACAAAAAGACATTATAATGGACAAGGAACTTTAAAGATGTTAAGGGAGAATGTTGCACCATTGGGGATCCAAAAAAAAGTGAAAGTTAGGTCACCTCAAGGCTTCCATTAGAAGGATCAGCGTTGGGGGTAATCTTCATGCCACCACCAAAGTATTTTGCATTTCCAATGCAAAGAGCTGTAACTTGAGAGTACTTCATCCATTCACCATCATCAATCTAAGCATTGAATAGAAAGGAACATAAATTTTAAAACATGGTAACCAAGATAAAAAGACCGGACAGAAGTTGCAGCTCACCTTCACCCTAAGATCTACATTCTTGTGCCCCATGAAAGCTTGCAAAGCCCCAATAACATAACATAGATTCCCCAAAGTTTTATATCTGGCCGCATAGTAACCTGCCTTTGCACTCCTAACACCCCCACAAAAACAAAAGGATCATGAGATGTGCTTCGTGAAGATGCAAACACCAGAAGCTAATAAGGAAGTCCATTTAGAAATTAAGGATTATCACAATTACACCACACTCACAAGTGAATATCAGCAACATTTATGAAATAATGAGGGTCTTTATCTTCTGCAGTAATGACACCGACATCCAGGCGTGATTTTAATCCTTGAAAGCAACTTCATTAGCAAGTTTAGCAAGAGCATGCATAGGATGTGAAAATTTACACACGACGTAAGAATAGCATTATCAATGACAAAAAAACAACAATTCTTCTTGTCTGCTCACCTTTAGCTATGCGCTCAACAGCTTCATAAGGGTCATTTTTCCTGAAGAGCAATAAAGAAGCGATAAATAGTTTTATATCTTTGCATGTATTGAGAATTTGTAATTCTAAATTCTAGATAAGTGATGTCAGCGTAACTAACCAGCCATATGTTCTGGCAAAATCAGAACCTGTGCCTAAGGGAATAAGCTGCAGAAAGAAACAGCAAGTAACTCAGCACTGAGCTGCAAAAATTCACAACAAAAAGCACACTGAAAACTGCAGCAACAACAAGAAACTAGAAACTCTTTCTGCAAACAACAAGCTTGAGTCAGTAATTCCTTACCCCAAGTGCAGTTGTATGAGCAGGCTTTTCATTTTGGCTTGAAACAGGATTACCTTGCCAAAAGAAGCCATTCACAACCTATTGCAAACCAAAACCCCTCAATATTGTTAACAATACAGTTGGTTGACATTCATACTAATAAGGCTGCTGGTTCTATTCCTACAGAGCACTATGTTTATGATCTAGCTCAAGATGACACTACTGCCTATCCTTGTAAGACTGCTGATGACAGAAGCTGAGTTGGTGCTATGCTGAGCTGTATCAAGAATCTGGATTGTTCTAGAAGCTTCCCCAATCACAACAACTTTCTGTTATTGTAATAACTTTCTGTTATGAGTTTGTTACATTGATATTTGTTAGATATTTTGTAAGAGCTATTCCTGTATAAAGAAGATTAGTTGTATAAATAGCTTCTCTTCCTTACAGATTGTATTCATTCAATCATTTTCCATAATCAATGAAAATAGAGCTCTTACATCCTCTCTCTAGAAACTGAGTTCATTGTTAGATTTCATACTTGAAATCATATTAACAATAGTACTAACTTATAATACTTTGTATTAAAGAAGATAGTAATGACATCTAAACTCTGTAGAAAGAACTAATATCAATTTTACTAAAGGAAACGAAGGCACGTTTGTCGAGGGTATTCTAGATCAGTGAAGCAAAAATTCATAACACATCCAACAACACAAAAATAAGTCAGGAGCGCAAGTTCATTCCACTCATGCCAGAAAACAACTGCTCTAGATAGAGTTTGTGAGCAGAAGGAAACACACCTCATGAAGGGTTCCGTCACCACCCACAGCAATTACGGCATTGGCACCCTCCCTGATAGCCTATTCATATAAGACTGGAAAATGAAATCAATGCAGCCAACAAAAATAGAAGATCACAACTTTTTAAATTTTTTTTTAAAGAAAAAACCCGAAGTTATACCTCTCTTGTTATATCAGTTGCGTGGCTGGGACCTGATGTAAAAGACTCACATATCTGGCCAAAATGAAATTAGCTTCAGAAACCAGCAAAGGTAGTATAAGGAGATACCATATGCATGATGTTCCCAATAATGACTAATAAAGCAGTCCAAAGTATCAACTAGTCAAAGTCAGTAAACTGCATGATCCAATATCAAATGACGAATTTCAACAGGAATTCAGGTTACATAAAGCATTTTTTATTGAAATTAAGTCATGAAACAACTTCTATTCACGCAAGCAATCAGAAAGAAATAGGCCCTCCGTCTATTAGCCTCGTTGATAATGTAATATGAATTTTCATGGCAAGAACCTACTCCAAACAGAGGAATTACTTGATATATGAGCCAAAGGAAGTTAGGAACCCCCCAAATTTCAATGACTTCATGTAACAGCTTTCCCTCGAAGTTATAATTGAAGGACAAAAGCAAAATCTGGAGCATGATACAATCTAGAATACTCATAAATTATAATTCGTCACTATCACATAATACTAAGGTTCTTTTCCATGGATAATACATCAAAGTCTAATTTGCTAACATCTATTCGAAAAAATTTCACTTCAATTAGTTCATTGAACTCGAATTTCAATTCCATCGTAAATTCTAACACATATCATCAAACATTTACAAATTCACCAAATCTATCATCTATATGAATATAAAAACATGTCAAAATTCACAGAAGCTTGCTCAATTGAGAAGCCACAAATTCAATAAAACCAAAACAAAAAAATAAAGAAGAAACTCACATTGCAATCAGAAGAAAGACGAGACCTCAAATATGGCAATAATTTCTTCCATTCCTTTCCAGTCGTACCATTTGCTCCTGCCGACAAACAATTCCATGGCAAAATCAACATCTCACAACAAATTCAAGATATTCAGCAACAAAATGTTAGAGCAAATCATAGAAATAGGAGAGAGAAAGAGAAAAACCTCGAGGATTGACGACGAAGACGAGATCAGAGCGACGAGAGAGAAGATTAGTGGAGGAGAGAGAAAATTGAGGCGGCATTGATGGAGGATTATTCATCCGTACTGCTATTCCATAAACCATTTTATCCTACTGTCTGCTGAGTAAGAGTTTCCCACCGCCTGAATTTATGGCGGTTCTTTCTGGATCACGATAATCTCTGCTTAACTTCTAATACTGGAATTAAGAACAAAGATTGAAGGTTACTCTCTTAAGTTGGTTCAGACATGCTACGACAATTATGTATATTTTTAACCGATTATTATTATAACCCAATATGCAAATTTGCATGTGGTGCACTCTATTTATTTGATTTTTAGATTGGAATAAAGTGAACAGAACAGGGATTAAATGACCGACATTTTTATTGCATCTTGCTTCTCAATTTGCCTCTCAATACACTCAAAGCATTTCCCTTTGCTATAGATTCTTAAGACGATTATGGCTACTTTTCACAATCCTTGTTATGACCTTTTCTTATTCGTAATTTTATAGCCAAATGAATTTCATTTTTGTAATTCGACAGTTTCAAGTTAGTGGTAATAACCAATGAGAACAAGGTTTAACTTTTTACGAGATTTGTTAATCTAAAGAATGATGCTATGTGCAATAGAATGTAATAGATGAGGTACCAAAAGTGAACAGGCTCCATAAACTCTGTTTGATGAGGTAGCTCTCAAGCAACAAGAGATGCTCGAAATGCTCAAGGACATGTACCAAAAGTGAACAGGCTCTATAGAAGATTGATTGATAGCAAAAACTTTCCAATTTTCATACAACATCATAATTTTGTTACATGTCATGCCAAAAGGCCAGAAACCGTAGGCACATGAAAAATGCCCAAAAAAAAATAAAAAAAAAATAAAAAGAATGTTCGTGAACAACCCTTAGCTTCCTATCTCCTACCCCTTGACTTTGAGTCGAAGTGGTGAGACTTCAACTTCTTCTTGCGAACAACAGTAGACGGTCCACTACCCTCTCTAAACGGCATTCCCATAAGAGACAGCAGTTTGTAGGCTTCCTTATCCGTCTTAGCTGTTGTTATTATGCAAACATCCATTCCCCTAGCCTTGCCAACAATCTCAGGTTTAATCTCTGGAAACACACTTTGTTCACGAAACCCAATGCTGTAGTTCCCATGCCCATCAAAGCTATTTGGGTTTACACCTTGGAAATCCCTTGTTCGAGGAAGAGCCAAGTTGATAAGACGGTCCAAAAATGAATACATAAGCTGCATCTCAATAAGCATAGAAGTAAGCACATTTGTAAATACATCTCTGAGAGGTATGTCTTTGCTACATGCCAAAAGTGAAGTTAAATTACAATATTGAATGTGCAAATGTATGCAAAACCAGAACCAAAAACCACCACATTCAACAACATATATGAACTAGGTTGAATGCACGAACAGATCATCAGAGAACCTGACTAGATTCCTGTTATATGACTAATTATGATAATATCAATGCTCATTTTCTGCCAGTTTTATGCCCTTGGCTGAACCGCAGAGCAGCTAGTTCAAGCTCTAAATCCATTCCATTTTCACTGAGTGAGAAAAATCAGGAAAATAGTATTGTACTAACTCCTCACAAAACATTATAAAACCCAAGGAGTGACAAAACAGGGATGCGGCATCAAAGTTATCAAACAGTATACCAAAGTCATATTTGCAAATTAAGTCAACCAAAATCAAGTTAGAATCTTGATAAATAAACAGGCAATAGACTTACATTTCCTCGTAGCGTGACTGCTATCCCAAGCGTCATACCTTCTCGGACCTTAAACCCTGCAATGGATGTTTTGGCCTTTGTCTTTACTGGCCTCTGCCCAGTAATAAGTGCCAACTCGCTAATTGCAGCATCCAAACCCTTGGCATTCTGTGAAGCATCCCCAATCCCACAGTTGACTACTATCTTCTCAACCTTGGGAACCTATGCACATTTCATACCAAGAAAATTAAAATTCAGAAGTTTTAATACAAATTCACGATATATAATTTCTCTATGACCTCAATTCCACATATATTATTGTAGTTGTATAAGGATGAATATCTGAATCATTTATCAATATATTTGAAACTTTTTAAAGGAACCCATAAAAACCAAGTAACTATTCTTATCCGGTAAATTCAAGTTCTTCTATACTAGAACTTCAGTCTAATCTATATACATTTCTTAGAATGTTCATAAAAAATTTCTCCCAAAAGCAGTAAGATACATGAACAAGAAAGGCAGAACTAGTCCAATCTCTTATCATTTTGAGAGAGGCATAATTTGTTAATACATTGATGATCATTTGCATTTCCGTCGTTCCGCCCTATAAGTAATCGGCTAAAATGAACAAAATGAAACAGATACTCCATATAATTCAGAAAAACTGCAGCATTTAAGTTCAAGGCACCTAAATTCAAGTAACAACAGATAAACTGCAGAAATCAAACTCCAGGCACACAATTATATAAACATTCAAGGTCAACATTATCAGATAAAAGCGTAGGCTGAATTTTCATCTACATTACAAAAAACAACCAGAAATCGATCAGTTACGCTAAAATTTCACAACATAAACCTAAACATAAAATTCAACTGAATAACCTCATTCAATCCTTAAAATTCAATATACCTGACAAAAATCCTAACACATAACGTCAATTTCGGCACTAACATAAAGAATTTATCTATTAAGCAATTAAACACACAAAATAGACACAATTTCACTCCATTTTTTTTGAAAATAATGGTGAAATACTTAAGCAGAGGAGAGAGACCTCAAGCATGTTGGAGTAAGAGAATTCATCCTTAAGAAGAGGAATGATTTTCTCGAGATAAACGTTCTTAAGACGATGAACAGTCTCCGCTTCAGATTTGTCGACGAAAACCGCCGTACCAGCAGCCGCTTTGATGGTTACCGGAGAGAATCCGAGGCGAGGAGCGACGGAGCTCCGGAAAGGAAGTCTAACGCCGGTGAAGGAAGAGGAAGTTGATTGCAGCAGCGATGCTGAAGCCATGAGTGAGCAAGAGAGTGTGATAGAGGAGAGAGAAATGGTGGTTCCTTAAAATAACACTGCTTTGAGGATCAGCCTTAGCCATTTGCAAAGTTGGATTTTACAAAATTAATAGTATGAAGTTATAGTACTTATAAATAAAGTGATGATTTTTAACAGAAGAGTCTGGGTGGTGTAGTCGGTTATCACGCTAGTCTCACACACTAGAGGTCCCCGGTTCGAACCCGGGCTCAGACAACATTATAATTTTTATAAGAGTAATTTTTTTCACTCTAAAATTATAAATTAGAATTGACATAATTATATATTTTTATTATCTTTACCTACCATTTAGGTCGTATCCTATTTAGTACGGAGTATTACCTATAAATTTTGGCCATATCGTATTCACCTATAATTAGAGGTGTCCACCGTGTGAGCTGGGTTAGGGTTAGGTGGGTCGCGAGTTGGGGTTTCATGACACACGGCACAACACACGTAGGGTAGGGTGGGCCGAGTCGTGGTTTGGGTCGGAGAAGTTGGACACACCAGGGTTAGGTTCTAGGTTAGAAGAGTCGTGGGTGGGTCAAGCTGGGTTCGTGGGTTAGACGGGTCGTGGGTGGGTCGAGCTGGGTTCGTGGGTTAGACAGGTTGTGGGTGGGTCGAGCTGGGTTAGACGGGTCAAGGTGGGTTAGGGGGGGTCGAAGGGTGGGTTAGTGGGTTAGGGTCGGGTGGGTTGTGGTGTTTTAATTTTTACAAAATTAACAATTTGATGGCTTGCTCAGTTGCTCTAAATTAAGATGCCTACGTATCCTTATATTATAAAATAAGGAATCAAAGCCAACGTAGTTCTTATATTGTACTTCTTTTGGAATTTGGGGGGAGGGGGGGCTTGGACCTGTCTTTAGAAAACTAAAATATAATTTTGCAATTAAATTGTAATTTTCGAAAAATAAGTTGCCTACGTATCCCGAAAGAATCAAAGCCCACGTAGTTCTTATATTGTACTTCTTTTGGAATTTGGGGGGAGGGGGGGCTTGGACCTATCTTTAGAAAACTAAAATATAATTTTGCAATTAAATTGTAATTTTCGAAAAATAAGTTGCCTACGTATCCCGAAAGAATCAAAGCCCACTTAGTTCTTATATTGTACTTCTTTTGGAATTTGGGGGGAGGGGGGCTTGGACCTATCTTTAGAAAACTAAAATTTAATTTTGCAATTAAATTGTAATTTTCGAAAAATAAGTTGCCTACGTATCCCGAAAGAATCAAAGCCCACGTAGTTCTTCTTAGTGTACCTGATTTAGACTTTTCTAGCCACCCATGTTTGTTGCATCATCATCCCCAGAAGCTGCATCATCCGTTGACGACTCCAATATCATCACAGGATCATCTTCATCGTCTTCGTCTTCCTTTAAACCTTGAGTTCTTCTTTAAGCTTGATCCCAATCTTTCTTACAAACACAAATTTGAATGCTTTCCGGATTTAAGCGAGATCTTTTTTCATCTAACAATCTTCTACCTGCACTAAAAGCAGACTCGGAAGCAACGGATGAAGCGGGAACTGCAAGTATATCTTTTGCAATTCTCGCCAATATAGGAAAACTTTTTTTATGTTCTTGCCACCATTTTATAATTTGAAAGTTGTTGTTGGTCTCATGTTGATATGACAAATAATCATTAATAACAAGTGTTGAAGAAGATGATGATGAGAGTGATGTAGATGCTTTGTGTTTCTTTTTCATAACTTTATCAAGAAAACCAAATCTAGAATCGGAAGTGCTAGTAGTAGTTGGTGTTGCCAAATCAAAACCATAAGCAGATGCATAATGATCATAAAGGTCTCCCAAAACAGATTTGCATTTGTTAATATATTCACTAACATCATAATCGATACTTAAACTTGTATAATAAAATTCTAAAAGATTTTCCAAACTTTCAGCTTTCACACCGGGGTCAAGAATAGCAGCAATTCCATAAATGATTGGAAATTCACTAAAATAAGTATGCCATTTATGTTTCATGCTATCAAGAACGGGACGAAGTCCATCAATCATCATATGCTCTTCGATGGTGTGAACAACTTTAACACACTCAATTATGACTAAATGAATGTTAGGCTCATAAATATAAGAGAAAATATGAGTTGCATTATCAAAAACATTTAAAACATCACGAACAAAAGAAGCATTAGTCCAATGACTTTCGGTTATTAACTCAGCAGGATCAACACGAGTCTCATTGTAAAGTTGGGTCAAAATGTCACGATACTTTATAGCATCACTCAACAACTTGAAAGTAGAATTCCAACGGGTAGGGGTATCAATAGACCATTGTCTTTTCTTAAGACCTCTCCCTTTACACATAGATATGTACTTTCTTCTAACTGACTGAGTAATCCTAATCCATTTTATAACTGTTCTAATTGGGTTTAGCAATGGTTGCAACTCAGCGAGACCCTCTTGAACAGACAAATTCAAAATATGAGCACAACATCTAACATGCAAGAGACTACCACCCAACAACAAATGCAACTCGGAGTCATTTTTCAAATAGTCAATACACTTTGTGTTTGCAGTTGCATTATCAAGAGACAAAGAAAAAATTTATTATTCAAGTGAAATTCTTTTAAACAATCCAAAATACAAACTTTGATGTTAAAACCGGTATGCCTTTCTTCCATAGCTTGAAAACATAGTATACGTTTTTGAATAAACCAATCATCATCCACCCAATGAGCAGTAATGCAGAGAAAACGTTCGCCAAAACTAGAAGTCCATATATCACTTGTAAAACTAACACGACCATCAAAAGTACGAAATAATTCAATCAAACCACTCCTATACTTATAATAAGAAGTTTGTGTATAACGTCTTAGGGTATTTCGGGGGACACGAGTAAATGCAGGTTGTAATGCAACTTTATTAAAATGCACAACGTTTGCATTTTCATCATAACTAAAAGGGTATTCATTAGGAATAACTAAAGTACTCATTTCATCAATCATTCTATCTTTATTATAAATGAAAGGTGTACCTCCGCCGGGTTGGTTCATGTATCCACCCAATTGTGTTTAGACGCCACCCACCGAAGGACGGGGGCCATTTTCGAACAAGTCGTGTTTATTTTGCAAATGCCGACTCAAGGTTCCGGTTCCATCTCCCGTTTTCCAATTATATGACTTGACATTTGCACCTAGCGCCTTGCAAACTAGGCATGTACACGTGAACCTCTTTGGTTGACCAGGTTGACATCCCGGGGGTGTGACCTCAACTCGTTCAAAATGTTTCCACACCCAAGAAAAGTGTGCTCGAACTCTACTTTCACCGCCACCACCTTTCATAAATCAAATTATTGAAATTAATTTTAAACGCTATTCATGAAAATAATCTTTTAAATTTTAAATATTTTAATTATAATTATTTAAACGCATTTTTCATGATAATTAACTAATTGTAAATCATAGAAAATTGGAAACTAAACTAACTTTATAATCATTAATAATAGTTTTTTTAAATATTCATAACAATAAAAATTTAATTAGAAATTACCTTGAGATGAATGTTGAGATGTTGGTTGCGATGGAGGTGGCATAGTTGAACTCGATGATTGGTGGGAGAAATGTTGTGGTGGAGACGTTTGAATATTTTGCCTATCTCCTAAACCATAATCTCCATATTCATTGACAAATTGGTTTAAATTTTCCGTATTAATTTCATACGAAAAATTTGCACCACCACTCCTTTGGCCACCACTTCGACCACCACTTTGACTCCTTCCCATTCCTCCTTTTTTTTTTTTTTTTTTTATGTTTATGACGACTAATTATAATATGGAGAAGAACTTTTTTTTTTTTTTTTAGAATCTTAAGAATACTAATAATAATATTAAGGAGATTTTTTTTAACAAAAATAAAACTCTATATAACACTTGAGAATTTGAGAACAATTAAGAATTTTTGAGTAAGAGAGAAAGAAAGATTGAGTTGTGTGGAAATTTGAGTGAAATGGAATTGGTATTTATAGGGAAAATTGAAGGGATGATCATACACTCAAAAAACTAGCCGTTACAAACAAAAAACTAGCCGTTACATACAATAACATACAAAAAACTAGCCGTTTTTTTAAAAAAATGGATGTCACACCGTGCGGGTTGTGCGGGTTGGTGGGCCGTGCGGGTTGGGTTGTGCAAGGTGGGTCGGGTTAGGTGGGTTCACGGGCTAGGTGTGTCGAATTAAATGGGTCAAAACGGGTTGTGCGAGTTGGGTCGAATCAAACGGGTTAAACCGAGCTAGGTTGAAATGGGCTGTGTCGAAAATTTTGGACCCACGACACAACCCGGGTTAAATCCGAGTTTGTGCCGGGCTGTGCCGAGTTGAAACCGGGTCGGACCCACGTGACCCACCAGCTGTGTGGGTTAGGGTGTGCTGGGTCCAACCCGGCCCACTGGCCACCTCTACCTATAATCAATGTCTCCACACACAGCAAATATCACAGTTTAACTCAAGGAGTCCAAATGACCGAGCTCATTGTTGTAAAATTAGCTCGCTCTTATTGATTGTTAAAAACTGAACATGTCTGGGCTTGTTGATTGTCAGCTTATCTAAGCTTGTCTGAAATTACTTTTTCTGAAAATTAGATGACAAGAACAAAGCCTTGTCATAGCATACAGAAAGAAAGGCTCTTCTGAGTCTTCTCCACATTACAGAAGCTGTAAGCCTGCAAATAGCCAACAATCATCCGCAAATGGAAAGCAGTGCTCAAAGAGTAATTATCTCTCAGACAGTAGAAATAATTTATAGCCATATTTAAAAGTAAATTCCCCCGTGTAAAAACAAAGAGCATGTAAAATAAACTCAATGCTAGACGTTGGAAGTTGGAAACCAGAAAAAAAAAATAAAAAAAAAATAACATTACTGCACTATTAACAGTTTACAGTAGGCACAGACAACCCATCCTGCAAAAGTCATCTGGGGATGAAGATGATCATATGTTTTTCCTTTTAAACTACATCCACAATCGAAATACACTATCTGTACCGAAAACCCGTGTCCAGTTCATGACCATACATTGCTCGGCTAGGAC